TATCCCAAGATAATGTTTCCTATCAGCATTGACTGATGATTGTTAGAAAGTTATGTTTTGCAGCATTGTCTATGAAAACATAAATTAAAATCTTGGAATATGGGAACCTGGAGATTTTCCAGATGATTCTGATAAGGAAAACCCAATGCTAAAAATTTTTAAAAAATATTTAATGTCTCTGGCTTTTATATATTTTATGTAAAGTGTGAATTCATAGTACACATCAGGGCTGTAAAAAGCATCAGATTCCTTAGAACCAGAGTTTCAGATTGTTATGAGTTGTTTGATATCTTGATGCTAAGAATAAAAAACAGATCGTCTGAATGCATTAGCCTGTGGTCTTAATTGCTGACATAGCTGTTTCTCCAGTCCCCCACCACAATTTCTTTTTAACTGTACAATTTTATATTGTTTGAGAGTTTACAGTGATTAATATTGTCAGTTTATAAAATTAAATGATTTTTCTTCATTCGTTTCCTAAAACTAGTGTAACATATGGTTTATATTTGCATTGCTAACTCATATTTCCTGATGAACAAAACATCTGTAATGAAAATTATGAAACTTTACTGTGAATAGCAAAATTTGGAACTTGTTTTACTCACTGGAAGATAGCTGTCATTAAGAGACATATTACCTCATCTAACAGTTCAAAAAAATTGACTTAATAAAATAATAATGATGTGATAATTACTTTCTATTCTTCTTATTCTCCTTATGATCTTGAAAAGCATGAACTTTCTTTTCTAAATTATTAAATTGAAGTTCAAACAGCAAAATATAGCTACTTATCAGATTTGTCTAGTACCAGTGCTTTTGTTCATAAAAGACTTTTGTTTCAGATTCTGGAAGCTTCTGATTTGAGTGCCAACACATTTGTCATGATCTGTACATACTGTCATAATGTAGTTCATAGAAACTTGCTTTTAAACAGACTAGTTGAAGTTATGCAAACTAAAGGGAGAGTAATTACATTACCTTTAATTGACGTAATACTCATGTAAAAAAATAACTATTTGGTGGTCATCCCAGAAAACATATATACAAGCAATATTTTACAGACTGAGAAAGTTTTATTTCGGAAATTTATGCATACATCTAGCATCAATTAATGAAAAAAGAGGCCATGAATTTGAAAGAAAAAAAGGTGAGGTATATAGCAGGTTTGGAGGAAGGAAAAGAATGGAAGAAACCATATTATTACATTATAATCTCATAAAATATTAAAAGGACAACTTAGTATTTTGTAATAATACATGATAGTATATATTTTTTAATGTTTTAGATGATTATTTTATCATCTAAAATATTTTTATCATCCCAATAAGAAATTTGATATATATTTTACAATATCTGTCTTCCTCTTGGCCTTTCATGAATGCTAGTACACTGTCTATGTTCCTATTATAGATATTTCATACAACTCATGTAATATGCTTCCTGTTTTCACATTGATACTAAAGGGAATATGTATTTTTAATCTATTACAGTGCTTTCACATGTTTATGCTCACTCTTTAAGTATAGTGGATCAATGTCATGTTGGATAAATGTTTCATGAGGAAATGACCAGATTGTACACCAGTATTTTTCCTAGTATGTTAACTTACAGTTGTGGGTATGAAATATTTATTTTTGATAGTTTAGAATCTAAATTATAAAATTATGTATTTATTTTTTCCTGTTACTTTTTACTTTTAATATTTTTATACCTTATTTCTCCATCTTGCCTCTTTTTTTCTCTTGGATCCTCACATGCCCGTCCATACCTTAGTCTATCCATAAAATCTATTGTATTTTACCCTCTAAGAAGGAACCATGTGTTCCCCCCTAGTTCACTGATCTGTATCTAACCTCTCTGGTCTATGGATTATACCTTGGATATCACTTATTTAATGGCTAAGTGAATACATGCCATATTTCTGGTTCTGGGTTATCTCATTTAGGATTTTTTTTTTCTAGTTCCATCCATTTGCCTGAAAATTCCATGACGTCATTTTTAAAACAGCTGGGTATTACTCCATTGTATAAATTTACCACATTTTCTTTATCCACTTATCTGTTGAAGGACATGTAAATAAATGGCTTTCAATTTCTGACTATTATGAATAGAGATACAATGGACATTTTTGAGCATGTGTCCTTGTGGTAGGATAAAGCATCCTTTGGGTAGAGACACAAGAGTAGCTTGATCTTGACATAAATTGATTACCATTTGTCTGAAAAAACATACTGATTGCCATAGTTTTACTTGTTTTGTAATGTACTACAGTTGCATTATCCTTTGAATTTTGACCCCTTTGAAATCTGATTATTTGTAGAAGGAGAAGAACACATCAAGATATATAGAAATGATGTTTGAGAGATGGAACAGTGGCTGAGTGCTAACCGGTCTTGCAGAAAAGTCTGGTTTTATTGCAAGCAACTAGTGCACAGACATGTGTGTGCATGTGTGTGTGATGTGTGTGCATGTCTGTGCACGTGTGCGTGCGCACACACACACAGGTGGTGGAGAGAGAGAGAGAGAGAGAGAGAGAGAGAGAGAGAGAGAGAGAGGGGAGAGAGAGGAGAGAGGAGAGAGGAGAGATGAAAAACCAAGTCTTTTCAGGGACCCTTAAGAGTCTTCATCTTTGAGAAAAAGACAGGGTTAAGTTTCAATTTGCAATAAGATGTATGGGAGGTGACCATCTTTCAGAGGTAGGATGAGGATTTTGAATGTTACACACACATTATAGTGACTCTTCCATTAAGAATGCAAGGACTCAGTTCCCTAAGGCAGAATGCCACTCAAAATCATCCTTTTTCCTGCTAGGCCTTTAAAGAAATAACCCACGTGTGCCTAGAAGCTACATTTTAAAACATTTTTATTAAGTTTGTTTTATTATTATTATTATTATTATTAAAATTTTTGCCTCCTCCCCACCTCTGCCTCCCATTTCCCTCCCCCTTCCCCGCTCCCCTCCCCCTCCTTCTCCAGCCCGCAGAGCAGTCAGGGTTACAAGAAACACAGAAACACATCTATTGTTTTTTTTTTGTTTGTTCGTTTGTTTTTTAATGAAAGCTTATGAAAAACCAATGAAGGCCTGAACAGTAGAATTCATTCTGGCCTCTCCATTATAATAGTAATCTCCTCTGTTATAAAGGAGTCTCTTGATTGTCTGGTGTGGGATACAATACTTTTAAACTATCATGGAAGAAAAGACTGCCATACTTGGAATCACTTGGAATCTCTCATTAAAAGTGAAAACACATATTTGGGTGACATTTATTATTTCATTCTTCTCTTGGGTTAGAAAATAACAGTTCTCTCAATAAACCATCATGAACAATTTATTCACCTCTCTTCCAAGTGATATCTTATAGAAGTTAATAGTTGAAGGCTTATTTTTATATTTTATTTTATTATCTGAATGTTTTAACAGGTTGAATTTTGAATGCATTAGTACTGTTCAAAAACATTAACTTTATAGTAAGCAAAAAAGGAAATAAGACAAATAATTCACGGAAATTTTCAGAATTTCTTTTTGAAAGATAGAATAGTATTCTATTGTGTATATATGCACCATAATTTCCTTTCCATTCATCTATTGGTGGACCCACAGGTTTGTCTTGAAGTAGGGAACTAGCCAGTACTGTTAAACTTATTTTTCTTCCTTAATAATTTATTATTAGTCTTATGTCATTTAGCAAATCACATTGTTGATATCCACATGATGATTTTCTGCGATTTTGATTTGGATTGTTAATTTGAGAGAAACTGACATTTAAAATACATTGAATCTTCCTATTCAAGGTGGTTAAACACCATTTTTTGTTATGTATTTTCTTTCATCAGTTTTAAGTTTTTCATAGATATTTTATACCTATTTTTTGCATTTATAAAGTTTTCTATGTAGGGTTTTCTATTAAATCATATTGGATTAAAGTCAAATTCTAATTTTTCATTTATATATACATAGTTGACCTTATTTAACTTGAAATCTTTTTGGCCAACAGGTATTGTGGTTGTGACAGTAAGGCAGGTTCTAGATCAGTACCTGAGTTACCTGAGACTTAGAATTACTAATAAATTTAGTTACCTACTTTTAGAAAAAAAAAAGAAAGTAGCTCTTTAAGTAAGTAGCTCTTAAGTAAGCTCTGCATACAGAGGTTTGATTTGGGTAGAATTTCAAGCAACTCAGCTTGAAGGCAGTCATGAGCTATGAGGTTATTGCCTGAAGCCAGGCATTCACAGATCTGAACTGGGAAATCAAGCCAGAGCAGCCCCTGCTCCTGGAGTCAGAGCTCAGCCTGATCAGAGCAGACCTGGAAGAATCCAGAGAAGCTGCAGAGGATTTTTGGCAAAAAATTACCAGGCAGCAGTAAGTCAGCCACTTAGTAGGCATGACCAAGCCAGGCATGAATGGGAGGAAATTGCCAAGTCACCACGTGGTGGGACAGCCAAACAGTGTGCAGCAGCATGCCAGAGGGGTAGTTCAGATATGTGGGGTGGGAGAAGACTGCAGACAGGGGTCTGGGCAAGACCCCAGCAATAACATGGACTCTGGCTACGTAGGTACCAATTTGTTGTCTGTAAAAGAGTTCCACCATAGCCTGGAATAGAGTATAACAAAGGTTTATTTAACTGGGGATAAACTCTCAGAAAGAGTACTGATATGGATCTGCAGTCCTCTGCATAAGTGAGAACTGGAATCAAGTTGAGCAGCAAAGAGGCCCATGCACACTTTTCGTCTGCATTTATATTACATGTGACAACACCCAAAGTGGGCCAGTGTCTTAAAGCCTATTGGCTGAAGGAGTTCCTACAGCAAACTTCTTTATGAATTTTCTGCTTCTCAAATAAGAATGGAGATTTACGGATTGTTCCTCAGATTCAGAAGAATATGTTTCTTTAATTAAGATATGAAAAATTAGTGGAAATAATTTGATATTTATTCTGTTCCATTAAATAAATAAGTTTTATATAAACAATAATTTACTTTTTTCTGTTTTTTTTTGTAGACTGATCTTAGCCACGAAAATGAATCTGATATAATAGATGTGGTAAGTGCCCTTTAAAAACATTTTCATCTTTTAAAAATTAATTTTACATGCCAACCACACACAGTTCCCACTCCCCTCCTCAGCTTCCCCATCCCCATTCACTCCTCAGAGAGGGTAAAGCCTCCCAGGTCTATAAAGCTTGACATAATGTAAGGCGGACCATGACCTTTCCATCTATATCAAGGTTAAGCATGGTAACCCACCATGGGGAATGGGCTCCAAAAATCCAGTTCATGCACTATTGATAAATCCTGGTCCCACTGACAGGGGTCCCACTAAAAGACCAAGCCACAGAATTGTCACCGACTTTTCTAGTTAACTAGTTGTCTAGTTAAAATATTTCTTATTCACTCTATTGTTCATTATCCTAGTAAAGTAAATAACTTTATTTCCTTTACTCCTCTGTATAATTATTTATTTGTATACATGAATATTTAAAGAATATTTTGATTTATTTTCTTGATATATAAATTTAATTGGGAAATACTAAATATGTTTTAGAAAATATTATAGGATTAAGAACAAAACTAAAACGACAGTGAAGACAGAATACTAAAGTGTCTTCTCATTGCATTCTGAAACTAAAACTAGTTTCTTTATTAATATTTCTGACTTTTCCTTAATAACTTTAATTTGTAAAACTGTCTTTGTCAAAGACTATAACCATTTTTAGACATTTTTGTTAATACCTGAGTAAACAAGTTTAATATACATTGTAGCAAATATTGTTATAGTGACATTAATCCTCATAAAAATTTCACTAAAAAGTTTCATTAAGGAAATGTTCAACATCCTTAGTTGGTATAGAAGGTTCTTCTGTTTGTGTCTTGCTTTCATTGGTTAATGAATAAAGAAACTGCTTTGGGCCTGATAGGGCAGAACTTAGGTAGGCAGAGAAGACAGAACTGAATGCTGGGAAAAAGGGCAAAGTGAGAGAAGCCATGGATCTCCTGCCTGAGGCCTATACTGGTTAGAATCTTGACAGTAAGCTACAGACATGTGGCAATACACAGATTAATAGAAATGGGTTAAATTAAGATGTAAGAATTAGCCGATAAGAAACTAGAGCTAATGGGTGAAGCAGTGTTTCAATGAATACAGTTTCTGTGTGTTTATTTCCGGTGTAACCTAGCTGGGCTGCTGGGACAAACAAAGGGCCACCCTCCTCGTTCAACACTTAATCATCAGAGAAATGCAAATCAAAACAACTCTGAGATTTCATCTTATACCTGTAAGAATGGCCAAGATAAAAAAAAAAAAAAAAAAAAAACCTGAGGACAACTTATGCTGGAGAGGTTGCAGGGTAAAGGGAACACTCCTTTATTGCTGGTGGAAGTGCAAGCTGGTGCAGCCCCTTTGGATGTCAGTGTGGCGATTTCTCAGAAAATTAGGAAATAACCTTCCTCAAGACCCAATAATACCACTTTTGGGTATATATCGTGGCACATGAACATGCTCAATCGTGCCACGAGGACATGTGCTCAACTATGTTCATAGCAGCATTGTTCATTATAGCCAGAACCTGAAAACAACCTAAATGCCCCTTGACAGAAGAATGGATAAGGAAAATGTGGTATATTTACACAATGGAGTACTACACAGCAAAAAAAAAAAAAAAAATTAACGACATCTTGAATTTTGCAGTCAAATGGATGGAGTTAGAAAACATTTTGAGTGAGGTAACCCAGACACAGAAGGACAATTATCACATGTACTCACTCATAGGTGATTTATATACGTAAAGCAAAGAAAATCAGCACACAGATCACAATCCCAGAGAACCTAGAAAACAATGTGGACCCCCAGAGAGACAAACAAATCTAATCTACATGGGTAGTAGAAAAATACAAGATCTCCTGAGTAAATTGGGAGCATGGGGACCTTGGGACAGCATAGAAGAGGAAGGGGAGAAGCAGGGAGGGGATCAGAGAAAAATGTAGAGGTCAATAAAAAATCAATAAAAAAGTTTCACTGTTAGGGAATTAAATAAAATAAAATTTATCCTATATTCATTTAAATGTATACTCATTTTTTTTACTAACATAGTTTTTCATTTACAATTTAGAGATTGCTTATGATATATGTGTGGTTGAAAGAAATAGAAAATTCATTTTTTCTATTTTCTAAATCAAGCTAGTATTAATTTTAAGGAAGTTTGACTGGCTTAAAAACTTAAGAGTTTTGTTTTTCCCTATTGCTTTGCAATTGCTTTAGGCCAAGAGCAATCACCAAATACTAGTTACATTCTTAATGTAGCATCCAGTATAGAAACAGACCAAAGAGTCTTAAATTTTTTTTCTTTTTCCAATTTGCTGATAAAAGAAAATAATTTGGCTTTAAGACTTATTTATTGTGTAAGTAAAATGTCCCAGTAAGATATTCAAATATTAAGTATCATTTTCCTGTCAAAAGAAAAAAATAGGGCCTCTCTTAAGATAGACTTTTTTAATTGCAAGATTAAATAACGCAGAGGACAAAAAATAAGTAGAAAGGAGACACTTGTCAGTTTTCATGGGAGTAACTATACATTCAGTTTCATTAAAAGGTGAGGATCCTCTAACAGGGTGTCTGAAAATGACTTGCCCTCCATTCATTGACTGGGTACCCCCACAATTTCTGCACAGCCTTTACCTCAGCATATCTTGTAGGCAGGGTAAATTTAAGGTTAAACCTTATGTGGCTGTGTTCGGTGCCAGTCTCTTTTCTGAAAGTCTTGCCTGGTTGCAGCAGATGTTTCATTCTCCATATCTCCTCTTGCTAGGAGTCTTGGTTAGTGTAACCCTCATAGATTCATGGGAGTGTCTATTGCATTAGGTTTCTAACTCATTCCAAAGACGTTCCTGATTCCAGTTGTCTTTTCCAATACATATGAAAAACTGTCTTTGCAATCCGCCATACAAATAATCTGAAAGAAAAAAAAATCACATGATCATCTCAGTAGATTCTGAAAATGTCTTTGACAAAATCCAACACCCCTTTATGATAAAAAGTCTTGGAGGAATCAGGGATACAAGGGACATTCCTGAACATAATAAAATCAATTTACATCTAGCCAGTAGCCAACATAAAATTAAATGGAGAAAAACTCAAAGCAATTCCTCCAAAATCAGGAAAGGGACAAGGCTTTCCACTCTCTTTATCTATTCAATATAGTACTTGACATTCTAGCTAGAGCAATAAGAGAACTAAAGGAAATCAAGGGGATACAAATTGTAAAGCAAGAATTCAAAGTATCATTATTCACAGATGAATGCATTAAGTAACCCAAAAATTCTACCGGGGAACTTCTCAGGCTGATAAATACCTTCAATTAAGTGGCTAAAATAAACAACAACAACAAAAGAAGCAGAACTTCGATATACAAACAATAAATAGGCTGAGAAAGAAATTAGGGAAACAATATTCTTCACAGTAGCCACAAATAATATAAAATATTTTGATGTAACTCTAAACAAGAAAGACCTGTTTGGCAATAGATTCAAGTCTTTGAAGAATGCAATTGAAGAAGATATCAGAAGCTAGAAAAATCTCCCACGACCATGGATTTGTAGGATTAACATAGTAAAAATGACCATCTTAACAAATGAAATCTACAGAGTCAATGCAATTCCCAACCCTATTTTTATGGCAAGCACTGCAGTAAGTTGCAGAAATCAACATGAGTATGTTTAATGGAACATCAATATTCATTTTGGTTAAATTTTATTTTATTTACAAAAATGTGCACAAATTTTAAATGGTTATTATATGAATTTGTTCACATTTTACTAAAATTATCATGATGATTTTAAACATCCTCTTATTGTTCCATTATGATTCCCCTTGGTAGGTTTCTATTCTTATTGATTAATTTTAAAAATAACCTGGAATATAGCTGAAGGGAAAAAAATAGAATCTCAGGGAAAAACAGAAAGGCAGGCAATCTGTAAATCATGGCACCTACCAGCAGTTGAAAGATGGATAAGGCAAATGGAAAAAAAGTCATTTCTTTTGTGTCAGCAACGGAAGTCTGCAGGCAGTGTGGAAAGGTAGAATGAATGTCTTTGGTAAAAGAGAACTCCCAGAGTATTGGGGAAATCAATGCTTAAAATATTGGTTGGTGTCCAAAGAGAAGCTACAAGGGTGAAAACAAAAAGTTATGCTTTTGAAGTGGAGCTCAGAAAATTGGCAAGAAGAGCAGCAATCAATAATCCTGGAAGAGCCTTCTGAGATGCATGAGAATAGTAACTCATTAAAGGAATGGGAATATTATTTCATTAAGGACCTATTATGTCTTCAGGTGAGTGTGCCTCCCTGAGTGTTGTACGTTATTTACTAAAATAAAATTTGAAATGCCACTACATTTCCCCTTTTTGTCTAAAATAAAAAGAAGGCTATAACTAATATAAGAAAACAATATACGATAAGTACAATGACTATATACAATATATACAGGCAATAAGTACATCAACAGTGTCTAGTCCATTTGCATTTGACAAATTCAGAGAAAATATTTCATATCTATCCTATTTTGGTGAGTCCAAAGTCTTATACATAATTTACTTTCTATCATAAATTGCTTTCTGTGTCTGGTAAATTATGACTATAGCTATCTAATCTTCAACACCCTCCAACTTTTTACTCAGGTGTTTAGCAAGCCTAGTTGAAGTAACACATTGAAAATAATCAGAACATTATGCCTTTAAAGTTAAATCAGAACCTTTTCTCTTGTACAGGAGGAAGTAACCATTCCCCAGTTGGCCTTTTAAAGTACTGATGCATAGTGTATGACCTCCTGCCCTGGAGCCCAAAATTCCATAATCAAATGAGAACAATTTCTAGATTTTTAAAATAAAACAGAAGGTAGATAATAAAAAAATTAAAAAACCTTTTTGAATACACTGATAGAATCATTATGTAGGCAGTGTATAGTATGGCAAGTAAATCTCTCCTATAGACCTTAAATGCCATCTCATAATAATCTTAGCTTTTGGGTTAGTGGAAGGTAGATAGATGTCTGT